CCTACATTAAGGTTTTACTGATTCGGATGCACTGGTTTTGGAGGTGTATAGTAGTTCATTTTGCTTTCAAAACAGTCCCTTAATAATTGAAATATTATTTTCTGAAGAATAAGCCAGAGAAATGTATTTCTTTAAGCTTTATTCTCTGCAGCACAAAAAAAGGGAAATGGGATTGTTTTTTCTGGTTCTGAGAACCATCTCGCATCCTAAAAGTAACATAGGGTCGCTACTAGACTTGTCTGAAGTATTCAGAACCAGTGGATCATTGGCGTACTATACTTTTTGTTACTACCCCTAAGCACGGCCTGAATACGCTTCCCTCTAGTTAGTGGTGGTGGGTCAGGGGGAACGGAGGTAGAGGAACCAACCTAAATACACCAATTAACCTCCATTAACAAGTTCCCCACTGTTGGGGGGAGTCTGCAGCCAGACTGCCATTGATGGCACTACAGCTCACAAATCTTGTCCGTTTATAACATTCAATAGACTGGATCTTACGGGCTTTCGAGTTGGATTACTGAAGTCCAGTACAGAATCAGTGTTAACCCAGAAGTTACAAGTAAGTTTACGCCAAGTAAAAGGTGTAGAGTTTTCACCTTTAGCATAAACTGAATTGCATCTTAATGGAGAAATGTAGCCAACTGCACCCTACATGCCCAGCCCCGTTCTGGCAGTTACAGATGTTCCTTAAGGTCTGACCCCTACATGAATAACATTGGAGAAGCATCCCCACATTTTGATGATGTTCAGCTGTTGGAAACAAGTAAGAGTGCCAGCACTGAGAGAACAGCCCGCTCCCCAAAGATGATGGACATCTTTTCCATGAACTGCAAAACAGAGTTCAGAAGTTTTGTCGCATGGATTGCAGTTTCCTGTTATCATTACAGAAATATCTACCACTCCTATTTCAGTGCTGAAATATAGGCTCTGTCAAGTGAAAACATGGCCAAAGTTTTTAAGCTAATTCCCACCATATTCGTTCAGAAGGTAAATTTCTTATCAGGTGATCATTCAATTTCGTACCAAAAGCACAACACGAATTTTTTTAGCCTTTATAATGCTGTTTATGCATTCCTGGTGAAGTCCCCAAAAGTTGTTTTTAGCAAATCTATGCTCTGTAAAAGCAGCGTAAAGGATATTGGAAAATTACTTTTCCAAACATTGATGACTTCTTATATTTTTATATAAGAAACTAAAGCACAAAAAGACAAGCTCATTGATGGCTAAAAACTCCTTCCATTTTAAATTCTTTTTTTGTTTACTTTATTCATTTGTATGTTAGTAATATTAATTAGTATGCTGACATAATTCCAGACTGATGTGGAGGAACTTAAAGTAAGGGGAATTAAAGTATCCTAGGGATCCTAGGTCACTATGTAGGGCGATCTGTGCACCAGAGGAATTCATACTATTATGGATGTGTAATACACACTGCGAAGTGTGAAGCTGAATAATGTGAGCCTAAATGACTGCGCGGCACGTATGAACATGTAAGTGTTGCCACTGAGCTACTTGTATTCATTTTCAGTTTACGGATAAGCAAGAATTAGTAACATCTTAACTGAGAGAACAGATTGCATTTATCTTTATAGAAAACACTTTTAAACAAGTAAAACCTTCTCAACACTCACTGAAAAAGTATCTTGGGGGCTTTAACATACACAATCTATTGTATCAGCAGTACTGCATAGCTGATTTTCATTCCTCACAGTCATCCTACCGCCACAAGTTTGCCTAGGAAATTAAATGTTTAGTGCTACTTCTAACTAACTCTGCAGACTTTTGCATATCCGAATTTACACAACAAAAATCTTTTTTTGCTTGTGTGGACAAATGACTGTGGTAGCAGAACTGGAAAAAAAAAAGTCAAACTACAAGGCAACTTCAAAAATTTGCTTCTTGAGTTTTCGTAGTCTGACATATTGCTTTTTTTTTTTTAATGTTTTTTGGCAAGAGCTAGGTTTTCTTTTGAGTAACAGTAAAATTGTGTAGCTTTTTCAATCTATACCCAAATACACTCTGAAAAATCAAAAAGATGGCCTCTGAGGACCATTGAGAGGTATCAATAGCTATTAGTGGCATCAAGTCCTACTTCTTGCCGTAGGCAGTAGCAAGTCTGCAGTCATTTCTGCACCTGCTTTTCATCATCACAAAGTACAGAGGCAAAACTGCAAACCGTGAGCTCAGGATGAATACGTACAATGAAACTATGGACACAGCACACTAGTTGCCTTCCAGACGGGACATATGCCTTCAGATGACCATATTGCACTTTTTTGCTTTAGATGGGAAGAAATCAATTAAGAACAATGCAACAACATACCAATACAAAAGTCTGGGTCCTCTATACTGCTAGTCGCATTTAAAGAAAATACACTGCAACACTTTGCATCTACTATTGACCATAACTATAGCAAAGTAACCATTTTTCTGTTATTAGAAACACTAAATAAATTAAGCCATACTTTTACCATTATTTTAAATACATTCTTGGTTCCATTTAAGTCGATGAATCTATGTGTCTCCATACATCTAGTGGATCTGACTCACCCTGTACTGCTTCACTTGTGACTTTATATATCTCAATTAATATCTGAACTTTTAAATTTCCCCCATTTTTCTTTTCCAGGTTGATATGACTTCAGAAAAAAGTAAGATTTTCTTTTTTTTTTTTTTTGAAAATGTTATAATGCAGTTCGTGTGAAAGACGGTTAAGAATAAAGATAAGCATGAGAGAGAGCTTTAACTGCTATTGCTAATAACATCAATACTTTAAAACTGTAATAGAAAAAAATTTAATACCAAAGCAACTATCCAATTAAATACATTTTCATCTATAAATTAACAAGTAATACAGTTTAAAACAGTTCATCTAAGCATTTACTTTCCTTTGACATCCCTAGTGATCCTGCTATTGCTATTTTGCTTGTATGAATGCTCATCCCTCCATTTTTTTGTTTTGTCCATCTGTTGACACACATTGTTGTCTCATATTTGAGATAAATGACAGTATCACTTTTAATGAAAACATAATTAATACTCCAATATATTTCATTAAACTCATGAAATATAACCATGCAAAAAAAGTGATACTGTCCAAAGTAATCAGGCTGTTTAACCTCCCCCTGCCCCGCCCCCCCGCCTTTACTGTGGTGAAATATGACTGGAAAAATGACTGTTAAGCTTGGTACAGCATATATACCCTTTGTACATACAGAATCAGGCCGCTGTTATTAGAAACCGAGGGTGAGTGGTTCACAATGCCAAAGATCCCCTTTAATGACGATGCAAATCAAACAAATACATGTTCAGTCTAAAGAGTGTCTCTAATAAGAACTGTTTTCAAATGCAGTGATTTCTTAAATCTGTTTAGGAAAAGAATGACTACTGTCTGGTTTCCAGTTTAAAGTGCAATGTCTTGCCTTTTTTAATATGTTGCATTTTGAGGGTTATTTATTCTTCATGTACTATGTACATGTTTGAATTGGAAAGACAACAGCACTGTGATCTGAAGATCAAATGGATGACCATTCCCCTATGACCTCCTTTGCCTAAAGCAGAAATGCTTCATCTAGAGAATGAAAGATATTAGGGTGACGAAACAGCTAATAACGTGGTGGGAAATAGTGTTCACCATGATTAACAACATTATTAGTATCAGATTGTTGCTCTAATTCATGATTATTTACACCAGGACAACCAATTTCATCAAGGTGGAAAAGACACACCATAGTATAGCCAGCAGAGTGGAATTTCCGTTGCCCGATGACTCCCCTTGGCCATGGGACATGGGAAGTGACTTCAGCAGAACAGCAAAACACACAGGTGAAAAAGGGCTTCCGTGCTCCCTGTGCCACAGTCCCGCAGTGCAGTACACCCACCCTAAGGAAGGTGGCAGGAGGCAGGTTTGGTAAGGTTGTTCAGTTGTGTCTGTCACAGACTCATCTAAATTCAACATCGCACAGAGAGCTAGAATTTTTGGTGACTCTTACACTGGATGAATGAAAATACCAGTCAGATAGCAATTTAGTTTTGCTACTTCTTGCTTTGGCTTAATGGAGAATTTGCTTGAGAATTAGAACAGCTGCAAGTGGGAGAGTGACGGAGAAACACAGGTCCCAGGAATCCTTAAAAGTATAATTAACAAACACGACAGAGACCAACAAGTGCCTGCTTAAAGACCACTGAGATGGCTTGCACCATGATATCCAAATTGCTGGAAAATATACTTACAATCAAGCAACTTCTTTTCAGACAGTTAGCCCAGTTCCCTTATACTTCTGCTAATGGTTGTCTTTAGGTTAAATAACTTTTAATTGCAATGAGGTAATATGCAAGTGACTGATTTTCTGGCACAGTAGTGGTACTGTTCAGTAAGAACTAGGACTCACATGTGCATGTCCTTGGTTTGGGAATAATTACTTACGTCGAGGGAAATGGATCTGTGAGAAAATGCAGAAAGTCTCACCCATGTCAAAATACTGCCAAAATCACCTTCATCAACAGACCTTAAAGATCTGAGCCAGAACCAGGATTAGAACTGGTGTTTCTGAAAAGTGTGTTAGAGACTTTACCGTTTGGCCATAGAGTCAGTTCCTTCCTGCTCTGCTGAAGAGTTACACAAGTAGACAGCCCTCATGAGAAGAATCCAAAAGAATGAGGGCAAGCCAAGAACATGACCCAGAAGAGCTTAGCAGTTAGAGGTACTTAGTTTCAAGATCCACTCTGCTGAATCCAAAATAGTTTCCCACTGAGAAAAGAAGCAAGTGATGATAAAAATCAAACAACAAAACCTCCAGAACACTGTAATACACTGAGAGATTTTATCAGCACCTTCCATTTCAGCTGCTCTACTTAATCTAAAGAATTATTCTCAGAAACAAACGTTTGCATTTTAGTTTTCAAAGTTATGTTGAGAGACAGAGCTCACCGAGACTGTTGTGCTACACTCATCTTCCTTGGCAGAATGAATAGCTGTGCGACACAAGTGCGGGGAGCGGGGGAGAGGCAGACCACGTCATATCCCAAAGCTTGTAACGTGGCAGAGAAGAGTACTAATCTGGGATGTTAATGACCGCCCTGCCGATCCTAAAAGGTCCTTGTCCTGCACTCTACCAGCTGCACTTACTGACAGCTAATGACCATTCCTCACAGTTTAGGAGTTCTCTTCTTTTCTCCAGTAGTAATTCTACCACTGCTTCCTCACTCTGCCAACGAGCTAGGCCACCGAGAGCCCCAGCAAGCATTCTTGCTACCA